AAACTGAACCTTTACCAAGTTCAGGGCATTGTGCTAATCATTTTACATGTGTCATCTCATTTTGCTAATTACAGGTGTTACGTATTAAAGGGTGGTTAAATAGTGTTGTAGGTTCAGATCCTGGCTCTACCATTCACTGGTTCTGAGAACTTGGGGAAGTTCCCCCTTTTGTACCTGACAATAACTCATTATAGCTCACAGGGTGAGTGTGAGCATCATAAAGATGATGCATTTAAAGTTATGCCATTGTGTTACCTGGTTGCCCATTGTGTACCCTTGTCTTTCTTTTGACTTAACTTTTATAAGCTCTGTTATCCACAGAAAGCCATGTGGGTCCACAGACGTGGCCTGTCCTAACAGTTTTGTTAATGATTGGATATTCTCAATGCCTGCATGTAGTTAGCAGTTAATATCACCTGAACAGCAGAAGTTCCACTCCATCACATGTTCTCACCTGTACACATCCCTTGGTAATTCTTAAAGACAAAGGAGTGAATGCAAATATGCAAGACGTCTTCTTTCCGGTTCCCCAGTTATCATGAGAGGATGCTTTCCCCAACCACATCTTGATTCCCTGCTGCTTCAAAGATGTGGTGCTGCATTTAATTAGCCATGGGGTTGCTAAAAGACACCCTCCTAGTCATTGCTAGTCAACATTTCTGAAAAATTAAACTGAGAGAAACTATAGTTATGAGAAGTACTGAAACACACTTATTCCAATCATGATTCTGGAAAATGGTCTGTTTTCAGGACACAATGCACACTCCTCATGTAATCCTCATGATAAGGTAAATAAGTCAGTACAACCATATTAGTAACTCATTTTACAAATGAAGAAAATGGGGCATGAGGACTTAGGTCCTTGCAAGCCACAAGCCTGCACTCTTAATCTTCCATTGCATTATTGCTGTCAAGTTCAAGCTACAAAGAAGTGGAATGCCCAGCTCCTCCATTCCGTTTCACAACACCACTTTTGTGAGTTTTGCACTATTAATCTTAACATACATTTTGTTCTTGTGGTTTGTGGCTTCAACTGTGAGTCATCTGGATATTTAAAACTCTTCCTACTACTGAACTATATGCTCCGTCTATATTAAGAATATAGTGATATGATCTGACATCTCACTTAAAGGATAGCATCAGTTATTTGCCACATCATCCCCTTTATAAGAAAGAATCCAAAGGAAAAAATCCTGCCTGGTCACTAATCAGAAAATGTGTACTTAACATTAACCATTGCTTTGTTTTTTACCTCATACTGTGAAACTGGGATTTTCATATAACACGGATTGTTATACAATGTGTAATTCCTATCTCTATTTTATTGTCACTGCACTGATTTCCTTTCTTCTGTCCCAATTTCGTATGCTGCTGGTTTATTTTATTTCTTGAGAGTTGAGACATTTCCTTTGAGAAACAAAATAGGAATAAATAAACATGCCTCACTGCACAATCATTAAATAGTTATTAACTTTCATATACATAAGTAAAATGACCCCTTAACACATTTAAATAAAGTAATCACATATGTTCCACATAGCTTATCAAATACATAGTTATTGCACGAATCCTAAATGGTCTTATAATAAAAACTCAGAGCCAGATATTGGGGTAAATGCTGAAAGATCAGAGGGACAAAGGAACAAGCCATAGCCACTTCTCACCTAGCCAACTCCATGAATCCTCTGACTGAATGCCTCTGAGTCCTCAGCCAAAAGGGCTCAAGTTCCTGTCTCCTCACGCCTTATATGCCTTTCTCTACCCAGCCATATCATTTCCTGTCTTAACCTTCCTAGTGCTGGGATTAATGGCATGTGTGCTTCCCAAATACTGGGGTTAATGATGGGTGCCACCACTGCCTGGCGCTGTTTCTCTCCGAGACTGGATCAAACTCATGTAACCCAGTGTGGCCTTGAACTCACAAAGATCCAGATGGAGCTTGCCTCCCGAGTGCTAGGATTAAAGATGTGTGCCACCACTGCCTGACCTCTATGTTTAATGCTGTGGCTGGCTCTGTCCTCTGATCTTCACGCAAATTTCACTGGAGTACAACAAAATATCACCACAGATAGTATATGTTTGAAGTCTGATTTTCTCCAGGCTACACAAATTTATGTGTAAAGTTCATTAAATACCATCCCAGATTCACCATGTGAGTTTTGTGACTTCATACAATTCATATGATATCTCTGTATTTACTTTCTAACCCTTAACAAAGAAATGATAATATATCTTCCACACAGGCTGACAAAACAGATTCAAAGTTCATGCATGGGCTGGTGACGTAGCGTATGCCTGTAGTCATTGCTACTTAGCAGGTTGAGGCAGGAGGATCACTACAGCCTATGTGTTGAAAGGACAGTCAGAGTAAAACTGTGAATCTTTTCTCAAAGCAAAGAATTAACTTACGTAAAGTTCTTTTGAACAATTTCCAGGATTCATGTATAGTATACCATTACCATCTCCTCTTCCCTTTCTTTTCCTCTTTCACTCCCCCTCATCTCTTGCCTCTGATCTTCCAGACCTTCTAAAAGGGCCACACTTACTCTAAGCC